GTAAACTGGCCGTAAAGGTGGTGTGAAGGAAGTGGGTCTTTGCGTCCCACGTAGAGGAGGGTTTTCCGGTTAAAGTTTCCTTTGTGACTCGGAAGTGTCGGTGGTATATGCCAACACCGTGTATTCCTACAGACACAACACAAAAGTGGCGACCATGAAAAGTAAGCGTAAATGCATACAGTAAATACGTAGCGTCACGGCATTAGCTAACGTTAGCTGAACAGCGACCCGCTGGCTAGTGCTTGGCAGATATGGCATGCTAACGGTAGCTATAGCTAACTTGGCGTGTCTGACTGTCTGCAGTCAGCGAGGATGCCGACGAGATTGTTCAGATGTAGCCAGCACCAACAATAAGGACGCCATTCTGTAGTTGGTAACATTTCATGCTCGTTGTGTCGTTTGTGTGCAATTGTAAATAGTAGCTTCACTTTAACTTGGGTTTAGAATGTTCAGGTTAACTCCCACCCAGACAGGCTAACAATAGCTTAGCTAGCTTGTCTGTGTTTTGGACAGTGACCGCAGTAGGCTGCTGCTGCTGCCCCATGGCATCTGAGGAGAGGCCTCCTGCAACGTGGATTCGTCTAGCCCCCATTATCAGCAACGTTACGCATTTTATTTTATTTTTTAACTGCATGTACTCCATGAGGGCCTTTTTTGCACATTATACTCTGATACTTAAACTGCCGCTCAGCATCATAATCCGTTGAATACGGGACCAGATTAGAGAAAAGGGGTTTTGCATGGGAAAGATGTCAGTTATTCTCTATTCATTATTTTATTTATTATTTGTCTTCAACAGAACCGTTCAAAGCTCCATCCTGCTGAAATGGGAAAACGCCCCTTCAAGATTGAGTAATACAGGTAAGCAACCAGCCAAGTTCCCATTAAGGTTACTTCATGACAGGCCAGGTGCGGGAACAACGCCTCCTCGTTACCTTTTAGTGTTGCTAACTGAACTGGTATGGCAATTCTTGGTGGTAGTTTTCCTGTGTCTGTCAGGACGTGTGCCTCTGTTTACCTGGGAAATAGTGATACATATCTGAAAGGCTAGTGGGGGCAAGTAGAGAGGAATGCTGGAGTCTGCAGCAAGAGCAATGCACCCAAACAGTACACGGTGCATGTTTGAACAGCTGCCTTCCTCTGGGAAAGTAAGGATGAGGCAACTGCTTAGTTTTTATAGAAGTATATGTCAATATAGGAGTATTGTGATGTCATTGTGTGTGTCACACTAATGTTTTTTATTGTATAAAACTGATCAGAATTTCTGAAGACAGGAAATAAGCATCTCAAAGTGATGTGTTGCACTGAGACTGAGATCACGTGTGACTTGAGGCCCTGCAAACAATTTCTCGCTGTCAAATCGCGGTATCTTGCACCGTTAATACGCACACAGTTTGTCCCGCTGGAGTTGTGAGTAATGCATTGTCCAGTGTTGGACAAGGTACTGGCTCGCCTAATTTCTCTGCAGAAATGGTTTGCCATGCTGCAGCTGTCTGACCCTTAATTCTTGATTTTAGTGCCGCTGAAGTTCACCGGCATGTTATTGCCTTCCCTTTCTAAACCAGTTTCCTGATTTGTTTTTCTCCGTCTGAGTGGAAAGGCTTGTGACTCCCTTAGCTAGGCTTCTTTTGGTTTATTAACATCTGTAACATGTGATTTCAAAGTGGTAATAATTCCAATCAGGCTGAAATGTACACGCTAAACTCATTTCTGCATGCTTTGAGGGTTTGCACATTCATGTCATGGCAGTTCGGTTGCAAAGTCTTTCACCACAGGATATCAGGGGAGGGGGACGAAAGATGACATGTTGTCTAATATCACATTTGTTTTGATATCAGAATCTTATCTTTATAATCTATCTAAGATCTATTTCATTCCGTACAGAATCACTCTCAAATACGTGTGACAATATGACACCTCATTAGTTGGGGAAGAACAATTTTGGGACTCAAACCAGTTCACAGGGCAGTACGGCTGCGTACTTGTTTTGTCCTTCGTGTAGCATCGAGTACAACATGGTATCAAGTTGGTACGATATCAGATATCGAGATCTGTTTGAAATCTTAATGTTTCCAACTGTAATTTGCGTATTATTCAGGGTAAAGTTCTTGTATGGCTATATTAAACTTTGGCTTTTTTGTTGAATAAAACAAAAAGAGCTTTTTAATAAATACGTCACTAGTATCCAAAAAGTTCGATGATGTTTTTAATGTGACATGATGAAATTCACAGACATCCCGAGGCCGGCAGCATCAAGTGTGCGTGTGGCGCGTCATGTGGTTAGTGTGCCGCTATTCAGACGGTTGATTGTGAGCGAGAACAGTGACATCTCAGACAACGCCGCCTCATTGTTTTCAGGCCCGCTGTGCAGTAACGGCAGAACCCCCATCACAACCCCACGGCTTGAAAACACATATTATGCAGAGAGATTTCAACACACACAAACCAGCAGCAGGCCTGCCTTTTGTAAATCACAATTAGCAATGTGCCGCCCAAGTTACTGGGCCTGTTCTGGGCCTGGTCGGAGGAGTGTTTAAACTCAACCTCAGTTGTCTCCAATGAGGAAATGTGTTGATTTCGTAGATGCGACACAGAACACACACACGGACACAAACATGCACATCTTTTATAGCTTCCTTTATTGGAAAACCCTCCATCTCTGAGGGTGAGCTGTCACACGGTTTAAATGTATGGAAATCACCCTGAGGTTGTTAAGAAGTAGAAGAAGAAAAACAAACCATAAACAGTTGCTGCCTTTCTAAAGCAGCGGCCACAGCAACAGTTGTAAAAGCTCAAACATGCAAATTCTTCCCTGATGGCTGATTTAATCAGGCGACTCTGTTTAATACAGCAGGTGTAAATAAATTTGACCTTTTCCCCCTCCGCACTAGTCTAAGCTCGGACAGGTACCTGCCCGTCTGAAGCGCGGTGCTGTTAACACTTTCTGGGAATAAACTGCATTGCAACACATGTCAAAAGTCCGACACATTTGGTGTCATTTTCATGTTACGTAAGTAGGACTGGACGTTTAATTAGAAATTAAAGACATTTCTCAACAGTTTCCTTTCCTCCAAATTAATAGCAGGCCTTTCTCACAGAAGATATTTTGACTTGTCACAGCAGTGAAAGCACGTTAAATGAACGATGGCTGAATTCCATTTAGCAGGTTCAGGGTCCTGCTGCTGTGCATGCTGGGTCACCTTCACACCGTCACGGTATATAGAAAGGAGCCAATGTAAATGTTGTTCGTGACTCCTGAAGCGCTCCTGCCGTGACGAGGCAAAAATGTGTGCTGTGACCGGGCCGATTCTGGGAAAGCTATTATGTAAAACCGATATTTAGTTATGAAAATCTGTTTGATACGTACACATAGCTCGATCGGGGTCTTTTTAGTAACAGTAGAGCACATTTTTATTGCCTTGAACATCAGTTCATGTATATTTTTGCAGATACGTCAGATAGTAACAGCGGAAGATATCATTATTAATATTGGGATAATATGGCGGTGGCTTTGTCTTTATATGTTTGTGAAACGTGCTGCTGTGTGACCGTCAACATTGAAACTTTTTCTGAACAGTAAGCCCCCATTTCAACTTTCAACTCTGCTTTAAACTCAACCTCAGTTCTCCACAATGAGGAAAGTGTTGATTTCGTAGATGCGACACAGAAACACACACACACACAAACATGCCCACCTTTTATAGCTTCCTTTATTGGAAAACCCTCCAGCTCTGAGGGTGAGCTGTCACATGGTTTAAATGTATGGAAATCACCCTGAGGTTAAGAAGAAGAAGAAAAACAAACCATAAACAGTTGCTGCCTTTCTAAAGCAGCGGCCACAGCAACAGTTGTAAAAGCTCAAACATGCAAATTCTTCGCCGATGGCTGATTTAATCCTCTGGTCTACAGTCCTGCAGAAAGACCAACGCAGAGTGCTGCTCGCTTTCCTGGGACTAGCCCGTAGTCTTGTTGCAGCCTGTAAATTGCCCCAAGTATCATTTATCTGTATTGTTTTTATTTCATGGCTTTCCGGATACATAACTCTAATGACTAGGACTTCAGAAAATAGACCCACGGGCATATTTACTAAACGTTACCACATTTTACACGGAAAAAAGTACAGTAGTCCTCCACAAACTGACTCAGGTGTGGTGGGGCCACATTGCTCAAGCAAAAAGTAAAATCTGAGACTTAATTTTCTAGGTCCATCTATGTATTTCATGCCTGTGCATAGAAATGAATAGAAAGACACAATGAGAATACCACAGGATGTCTGTGAAGTGATGCTGCGATGACTTGATGTTTGCTGTTTTGCATCAAAGACGAACACCAGCCAGCCAGCTTATACGCTCCATAGCTAGATCATAAGCTGCTTACCTGTCGGATAATTAAAAGCCAACTCAGCATCAGTACTTAGGTTTTCCAAGTCTCAAGTCCATGATGCACCCAAAGTAGATGCTTGATAAAAAAACTAAACCAAATCCACAGCACGTAGTGGATTTTATTGTTTATTTTTGTCAGAGAACCAGTTCATAAAATTCATAATTCCAGTCCATTCCTGGCAGTAGTTGTCTTAATATCACACATTTGATTCGTCCTTCAACTTTAATTAATGTCCTATTTTTTTGCCACAGGTCTCTCTCCATCACCCTGGCATCGCTACACCCACAGACAGGGCAGCAGCTGAGTCCCGGTAGCATGGAAGTCTCCGGGGCGCCGGGCCTGGTCCCGAGCCCTCAGAGCGAGGCGGTGACCACCGAGCTTCAGGAGCTGTCCCTTCAGCCCGGACCCATCCCAGCCCGGCCTCTGCAGGAGAGAAAGAACGGTGAGTCCTGTGTATTCATCGACTTTACTCTGCCTATAGGACCACTGTTTGTCTGTGCTGCTGAGTGAATGTACAGGAATCACTGCCATCGCTCTGCAGACGTTGCAGGCCAGCGGTCTTGAATTTAGGCTAACTAGAAAGTGTGTGTGTGTGGGGGGTGGGGGGGGGGTTAAAGTTAAATGTCACATGTGTCTGGACGTCTTGTTCACTGTTCAAGAAACACCAGACATGGAGATTCAAGTGGTCAGGTCTGTATATGTGTGTTTGTGTGTGTGTTTGTTTGTTTGTATATACAAGGCTGTGTGCCGTGACGTCTCCAGAAAGAAGGGAGTGAAGAAGCTGCTGTACATAATTGGCTTGCTCCTCTGCTCCGGCCTCTCGTTACAGTAGATTAGACCGGGCTGCACCGTTGCTGTGTAGACTCAAGACTCTGTTTTGTGCCTGCAGTTAGCTCAGAGCTGCAGCAGCCTCCTTTTGGTTTGAAGTATGGTGGAAACGCTGACTTTGCTGCAATCATGTATTTGGTATGTTTTAGGTCCACACAACCAAAAACAAGTGAATCGGAGTGTATGAATGAATCCAGTATTTGTAAGTTGAGCTTAATATCCTGGAGTCACAGCTGAATATGCATGGGCCTATAGAGCTGAACCGATTAATCGGTTTAGTCGATCAGCTATAACTATTTAGCTATACCACATTAGTTGTTTGTCTTTTTTGCAGTTGCAGTTAGTCTATGGTTTGTGTTATCTTTTTTTTTTTTCCCAAGCACAACTAATTGCTGGGTTGCAGATGTAAATATCTGTCTCCTTTTATACCCATAAAACCTGTTTCAAGGTTGTTTCCTGTTGTCATTTCTAAAGACGAGGTTGGTAAAGATCAAGACGAGCACCTTCAGTCGACTTTGTGCAGCTATGTAGTAGCTCGTGAGATCAAATAGCATCTTTCTCACCAGACCAAGTTCTACTAAACTGGTGGGAATGCACCCTCAGGTTTAAGCCAAAACTAAGGCGTATTATTGCACCCATGTAAAAGTAGTTACACATTGACATGAACTAGGTCAATAACATGAAGCTTCCAAATGTTACTTCCACACATACACGCACCTTGCTTTATCAGAACAGTCGGCCACATTGTCCATTGTGGCTAGCTGGGCGTTGGCCACTCGGTTTCGTGGAGTCCCAGTAGGTTGACCTGCTGCTCGTCAGACGGGGTTGGACCAATAAATGATTTACCATCTTTAAGAGGACCCAACAGTAGCAGACCGTCGTGCACAACTCGTACAACACAAATCAACGTTGGTAAAAGAATCTGAGATACAGTACAGCTAGCTTTAACCACGGCCTACGATGGGATGGACATAAACCCACGGGAGACTTTCTATATTTTACATGAATATTTCAAGTTACATCATTTCAGAAATGTTGTCATGTTCCTGTGACGAGTTCACCTCACAGAGACGACGCACACAAAGTCGAGGACTCTCCCACTCAGCCGAAGGCCACCACTCCCGGATTTTAACAACCCCTGCTCTTGTTGGCCGACATGTTTCATTATACTAGCCAGAAGCAGACGTGTTGCTGCAGGCACTCCTGCAGCCAGTCTCACATGAAGATGCTTTTCAGAGCGCTGGCGAGATGCGTTGCATGTGACTGCATGTTCGTTTCCACGCGCATGCATTTGTGATAAGGGCAAGAGAATGCAATGCCCACATAGTGAAGCTTATCTAAGCTTTATCTCTGACACCAGGTTATGCAATGAGTTTACTGCACAGGGTTGCTTCCTCAGTCACGGACCAGCGCAGGGAGATTCATTGATAAACACTTGTTTGTATATGTAGAGGTTACATGTTTTTCAGGATGAGGATCGGAGACAGATGTTCATACACACTTGTGTGTGAGAGTCAGCTTTGATTCAAGACATTAAAAGGCTGACATAACAGAGAACGGCCATAAAAGCAATTTACATTCCCCGTCATGTGCTCCCATCACAAAGTTGCCTCTGAACAGTTCCAGAGCAAACCGAGGCGGCTACGTTAACGTCACCGAGAGTGGGAGTGTTGGCCACAGAAGGAAGAGGAAAGGGAAGAAGAGAGGAGGGGGGAGGTCGTGTCTGAAATGGCAGCATTGCATAACTTCTCAGAGAGGGAACAGAAGGAAAGCGAGGGGAAATGCAAAGCAAGGGAGGAGGAAGTGTGTTACTGGTACTTGTGGATGTGAGGCTTGGCACCGGCTTGTTTTTTAGTTTTTTTTACTTTATAACTGGCTGAGAGAGTTGCAGAGGAGTGACTGAGAGTTTTTCTTTTTTTTAAAGTACATGAGAGCAGGAGCAAAACAAAGGTGTTGCAACGGAGAGATCGGAAACCTCTGGGTGGACCTTGTTGTTATCCCAGGAGCACAAAGGGGCAGACACACAGACCTACACACACGCCCTCTCCTTCGGGGCGTGCACACACTTGTAGACAGACACAACCCAGAGAAAGGGAATGTGAGGTGCACTGCTACCTGTGGAGTACCAGCTGCCGGTGAAAAGAAAAAACGTGTTTTAATGTGGCTTTCCTCTTGCTGGACTTCTCTTCAGCCTTCTGCCGCTGTTGTGTGTTTATTTTTTTTCCCCGCACTATTCCTTGTGCTTGTTTTGGGAGTATGAATCTTTGATCTTGCCGGGTGAATGAAGCCTCCCCTCAGCATGGTGCAGAGGAAAATGACTGTCACGTCAGGTAAAGTTCATTTGAGTGTGCGCCGTATTCTGCCTTCGTGTGTGTGTGTGTGTGTGATGACGATGAAAGTTACTTGTGAAGTGTGCCTTAAGCTGAGCTTTGCTTACTACAGGCGTGTGGTGTGAGCGCATGCATTGGGCAGTGAATGTTGGGTGAATTGACACTGCAGCTTTAAGAGTTGGTTTACTGTACCTGTTGGTATGAGAATGGCTGCTCTGCATCGATAGCTGCAAACAAATTAACTTTTAAACATTCTTTTCTGCACACGCGTACCATTTTAAATCACTTCTTAAAACACAGTTTTATGTTGGCATTTATGAGATGTCGTCGCTTTTCTGTTTTATTTTTATTTGTTGATTTTACTAAATTATTTTACTTAGTTTATTTTTATCGTATCGACTGTCTCACTGAGCTTTCTGTTATTGTTATTATCGCCTTGCTTTTGCTGCTTTGTCTGTCAAAGCACTTTGTAAACTCTGTTTTTAAAGGTGCTATATAAATAAAGTTATTATTTATTACTATCACCCAAACGTAATAGTATATTGGAAACTGATAATCTTGATCACGGCTTCATTGGAAGCGTGCATAATGAGGTTTAGCCGGTGCAGTGTAAAAGCAGTCCCTTTATCTGTCTGAGTTAGTGGCAAACTGACCAAACACCATGTAGTGTGTAAATGTAGTTTCAGGGTTTTACCTCAGAGTGGACCAGGCGGGGGTACCTTTTGTTATGTGTGTAAATCCGGTGAGGCCAGATTTGCGGGGAACACTCCTGAGCTGAAGTGGGTGGATGAGGGGTCAAAAGGTGCGGTTGATGAATTCTTCTTTTTTCAGAAAGTGAAAGTCCCGAGGACTGACTGTAGGCTGTCCAGGATCCAGACGGGGCTGGAGAGTTTGGGTTTAGCTGAGGGAGAAGGAAGAGATAACTCAGCCCGGTTAGTCACAGACTACTCATTTCAGTCAGAACAGATTGTTCCAGGTCACTACTACTACTACTACTACTACTACTAGAGAGCGGATTGTGAAGGATGAATGCAACATGACAGTTTCTGTGGTGTGTGCCAGGCAGCCCTGTCCTCAGGAAGCCTGAGCAGTGATTTTTAATCATGTGCCACTGCGGCTTGAGAGTCTGCAGGTTTTTTGTTCCAACCAACCGCTACGTCAGCTGATTTCACTGATTATTGCACCTTCTGTACAGAACGGTTGAAGGGACTAATCAAAGAAATTGTCTGCTTCAGTGTGTGGCTTGAATTGAAATGCCTGCAGACTCGTGTGATGCAGAAAGGCAAGTTTAAAATCAACTGGTCCAGACTCTGAATACGAGATCCTGGCTGTGAGTTTTTATTTTTATTGACTAGAAATGTGAACAGAGAATTGTGTGGCAAAATGATGATGATGATGGTGGTGAGGAGCTAGTTGACTTTGGGATTTGTCTGATTACATCATCCAGACTTGTAAACATAACGAGATAAAGATCACGTCCTTCTTCGTCCCCACCCTTGCATAATGACAATAGATGGGCCGTAGCTTTCCCTGCCATGTTGTGTCATCAGTGCTGGGCTCTGCTCGACGGGAGCCACGAGCGATCTGTTTGCCGTCAGAAATCAAAAAACGCTAAAGAAATCTGAGCACCACAGAGACGGAGGATTTTCTGCTGGGGCAGTACTTAAGATGCAATAGCCGGGCCGAGGCTAGCCTAGCCTAGTAGTGATTCACAGGGAGGCTGATGGTACTGTTATGTAACAGATTGGGAGGCTGCCAGCAGCAGAGGCCCAACAGCACTCTGTCAGGCTGAGAGTAGGAGGGGAGAGGAGAGGGAAGACTGAGACAGAGGGACTGATGGATAGCAAGAAAGAGGAGAGATGGAAAGCGAACCAGGGAAATGTAAAGAAGAATTGAACAATAACACCATAAAAAGCGCTGTACGACACAGGGAGGGGAAGGAAGGGGAGGTGTGTTCCAGTCTCATCCAAACAAAGCAGCTGCAGCAAACATAATCCAGCTGCCTGTCACTCTGTCGTGGCATTAGATAATCTCCATGTCCCCAAGACAATTAAAAACATGTAATGACAGCAGCATATTGTTGACCCATTATACTTCTAGTTTGAGTGCATATATCGGTACGTGTATTTTATGATGACAGAATGTCTGCGTGTCGGACCATGTTAAACTGCAGCTCAAATCTCAGCTCTCTAGTGACATTACAAAACAGTCTGAATCCAAACTGGAGAGAAAATGTCGTAGGTTTCGGAGAATGTAAACAGTCTTCAATCTAATAAACATACGCGCAACATATTTATGCAACTGAGGCAAGTTTTGCGAGAGGCTTAAATCTTAAATGTGTCCAGCACTCCACACACCCACAGACTACACATGACTCACCAGTGCACACAAACACACACACACTTCACAACTCATGTCGCCGCTGAGACCTGGACATGCACTCACAGGCTTTTGGTAGCCTTCTATTTTCACAGTGTGCCCTGACTGCACGGCATTGCAACAAGCACTATCAGACTCGCATCTTTTGATTTGTGATCCGGTAAAACTCCTGGGAGATAATGAGAAGTGAGCAAGCGCACACCGACCGGCCTCGGATCTGTAGCCCAAAGCTAAAGAATAGCGCTTAATCCGCTTCGTAGGTCTGCTAGTAGCAACAGGAACGTGGTGCCTACACCATCCACAGGTAGTACAAGCCCACTCATGTAGCTCAGTGATCTTTAAAGACACACACACACAAGCACACCCACTTATTGTTTTAACATGCAAGCAGCAGTCTTAACACATTCAGCATGGAGCAGCTGAGCATGCAAACACACATGCATCAGATATCACACTGCGTGCTTTTCTACTTTTGTGTATAACACCTGTAATACTTTTTGGTGGGTGGTTCGGGCAGAGCTTCAGCGCACACACAGATATGCACATTAATCATCAGTGTTAAGTGGAAATTCATGCAGCATCCTGTGCAGACAACATGCTACAACATGATGTTTTGAAATCCCGGCAGCCGTCTTGCATTGCATTGTAACGAACGCAGCACAAGTTGTAATGCTACCGCATGTTTTTTATTGAAAAAGTACTGGATTTACTTTCAGCGTTTTGCTTTTAACAAAGAGTTTGTTGCATGAATCTAAATACTTTACTACTCTGCTGTTAAGCTAACTTAACCCAACACTATCCCACTACAAACCTTCTACTTGTATAACGTGTGAACGAGAGTTTCTCACAGTTAAATGTTTCTTCTGTGACAGGTACACACCAACACCAACAGAAGACATGTGTCCTCTAGTTGGTTTACTTTGTGCCTCGTCTCCAACTCAACACAGTCTGGTGTTTCTGAAAAATAGAACAGCCACTGTGAGTCACCTGCTAACACCAAGCAAGGCGCACTTAGCGTTAGCTGATGAATGAAGCAGAGCTCACTGTGAGCCTGTTGTGTGTTGTAGGAGTGGCTCAGAGGCCAAGCCATGTGCACGAGAAAATTCAGTGTTGTTAACAGCATGAGGGGAAAGCAACGCGGTCAAGTTGTACTTTATTTGGGCTACAAGTCAAATTCAAAATGTCAGAAAATCCTTGAAAAATAGTTTGATGTCCCAAGTAAGCGTGCGGATGGAGCGGTGTCTCTCGCCCACAAACGGGAAACTTTGTTGATAACAGTAGATAGCATCACCGGTGTCACCAGACTCTAGAGATTCCAGGCAAACATGGCCACCAGTGTGTGTGTGTGTGTGTGTGTACACTGTCAGAGCAAACTAAAGATCACAGCGGTGTGTGCTTGCATTGAGATGCTCGTGGTCATCAGGGACTCGTAGTCATTCTCGTGTTCACATACTCTTTTGTTTTTAGCCTCAGTAATGCGACGGTAGCTCTGTAGAAACAAGCCAACCTCCGTGTTTTGTGTCGTTAACGGGGGTCACTGTGAGGACACGTTTGTCACAAATAGGATAAGTTGTCTGTCAGATGCATCAGTAAGTGATATTTATCAGCCAGATCTACAAGCGCCACACATGACAAATCGTCCGATAGGGAACAAAAGTTTACCAAAAGTACCTTGATCAGATTGATTTTGAGTAGATTCCCGTACATGGGGAGAAGCAATGAGCATGGCGGAGGGGAAAGAATTTGTCAGAACCTTTTCCTTTATTCCTGCGACATCTTGTCTCATATACACGTCATTTAACGTCAGCATCTCACTTAAACACTCACATGAAAAATGAAACCTGTGTGCCCATTAAAGGTCGCTGTCTAATAAAAACCCTGCCATTTTGGTCACTGAAGCAAATTCACTGCCAGGCTTATATTAGATGTTGTATACAGAAAGAGGAGAGGAGGGGACGGCAGGAAGAAGAAGAGGCCTATAAAACCCCAAAGAGCAACCGGAAGGAAAACACACACACACACATACAGTGTAAGAGAGACTCTCACATCCAGGCCAAAACAACACACACTCTGTACACATGTTCTCACCCTCACTTTGATTTTGTAGTCTTTTCCGTTGTGCTAGTTGGCTTTCGCCTGATTTTTTTTTTTTTTTTGGATTTTTTTAGTCTGCTCAGGAGTCTGTTGTTGTCAGACTGAAATGTAAACCAGTCGTAAAGGAAAAAAGAAATCAGTGTTTCCTCTCTAAGTGGTGCAGGAGGTTAGGAGGTTTGTTCCAATAAAGAGGATTTTGAGATGTTCCAGTTATGTAACAGTCTGTGCAAAGCCGTCATCACTGGACAGGGAACACCCCTCTCCGGCTCTGTTTTGCTTCTCTCTCACCCTTTATTCCTCTCTGAAAATCTTTCTTTTGATGACCATCCTCCCCTCCCCCCCTCCTCCCATTCCTTGCTTTCTGGTTTACTAGGAAGATTTATGTTACCAGATGCTAACAGCTGCCAGCTGGTCTATGCCTCTCCTTTCATTCAACACTTGGGCCCTAATAGATGCTTCTCTCTCCTTCAACAGTATACAATTAGGCCATAGTTGGACTGCTTTTAAATGATGAGGTGTGACACGGT